CAGCAGCCAGGTACTATGTCAGGGATGCTCATGCTTAATAATATTCCTGTGTTCGCTTTATTCGATACTGGAGCGACGCACTCCTTTATTTCACGATGATGTCTTGATGCCATCGGAGTTCATACCTTTACCGCTGTCGATCCTCTCGAGGTGAGTTTAGCCTCGGGACGAAAGATAGTAACCTCAGCTAGAGCTTTAGATCTCAGTCTTTCCATCGGTGGTTGTTCACTGTCTGCCGACGCGTATGTTCTTTAGATGAGGGACTTCGACCTCATTCTCGGGATTGATTGGCTATCCTTTTATCATGCAGACATCAGATGTCATGACCGAGAGGTTACTCTTTATCTTCCGGGAGATGAGTCAATTACTTTCTTTGACAGCAAGAATCGTTCATTACCTCATGTCGTTTCCATGGCAAAAGCTACCAAGTTGCTGCGACGAGGCAACTGCCAGGGTTATCTGGTGAGCCTTGTCGATGATTCTCAGAAAGCACAATCACCTCACGATGTCCCAGTTGTTCGTGAGTTTGTGGACGTGTTCCCAGACGAGCTTCCAGGAGGACCCCCTAACCGGCAGGTGGAGTTCCTTATTGATCTCATTCCAGGAGCCGGCCCCGTATCCAAAGCCCCGTACCGTATGGCTCCGAAGGAGTTGCAGGAGCTTAAGGCGCAGATTCAGGAGTTATTACGACTCGGTTTCATCCGACCGAGTGTGTCACCTTGGGGAGCACCCGTTCTCTTTTTCAAGAAGAAGGACGGATCCATGCGCATGTGTATCGACTACCAGGATCTTAACCGGGTGACGATCAAGAACAAGTATCCGCTTCCCAGGATCGACGACTTATTTGATCAGTTGAGGGGAGCCTGTGTATTTTCAAAGATTGATTTGCGATCAGGCTACTACCAACTGAAGATTAAAGATTCAGATATCGCTAAGACCGCTTTCAGGACTCGTTACGGCCATTACGAGTTCGTCGTCATGCCATTCGGTCTCAGCAATGCTCCAGCGGTTTTCATGGACCTGATGAACCGTATTTTCCATCCCTGCCTCGATAAGTTTGTTGTTGTCTTTATTGACAATATTCTTATTTACTCGAAGAGCCAGAAGGAGCACGAGGAGCATCTGAGGGTTGTACTCGAAACCCTCAGACGAGAAAAGTTGTATGCCAAATTTTCCAAATGCGAGTTCTGGCTCCAGCGAGTAGCTTTTCTGGGTCATGTGATTACTCA